GGCCTCGCCCCCAGATCGAAGTCCTTCCTCGACCCCTGCCCTGCTTGAGCAGCCCTGGCGGCGGCCCTCTCTCACGCTTGGAGCCCTCACCGTTCCCGCCTCTCCCGGCCACGCCCCGAACTTAAGTCCTCCCTCGCCTGTCTCGGTCCTCGCGCCGCCCTGGCGGCCGTCTCTTGCCCGCGGACCTCTGCCTCCCCGCGCGTCCGGAGCCCGCCCTGACTGCCCCCTCTCCTGCAGGCCCGGGACGCGGTCCGCGCCTCGGCGCTCGGGCTCCTCGCGACGCTGGTGAGGCGGGGCCGGGGCGGGCTCCGGGTGGGGCTCCGCGGCCCCCTGCGGAAGCTGGTGCTGCGGAGTCTAGTGCCACTGCTGCTTCGCCTTCACGACCCCAGCCAGGACGCTGTTGAGGTCAGCCGTTCCCCGAGACCACCCCCTTCCGTTCCCACCCAACGCCCTCCCCCTTACCCCGTGCCCACCGGACCCCCTCCCCGAAGACTGCAGGGCAGGAGCTCGCTGGGGACCTCAGCTGTGGGCCTCATGGGCTCCCGGGATCCGTGGTCCTTCCTCGGCCCCCACACTCCAGCCCCTGCCCCGGGCTCGCCCGCCGCTATGCTGGTGGGCCTGGCCACCCCTTGCCACTTCCTGCTCCTTTCCGCATCCCAGAGCTCCCAGTGGACCCTGGCCCTCTGCGACCAGGCCCTGCGCTGGGGCCTGCTGGAGGAGGTGGTGACTGTGGCCCGCTACGACAGCCCAGAGGCTCTCAGCCGCGTCTGCCACCGTCTGGTCAGTGGGGGGGGGGCAGTGACGACAAGGCCTGAGGTCAGCTTCCCACTTGGTCCAGTATTTGCCTGTCCCCTGAGTGCACTCCCCGGAATCTGAGTCCCCCCACCTCCAAGCCCAGCCTGACCATCAGGCTCTGGTGGGGCTGGTTTAAGGCCTCAGGCCCTGTTGCCCCGCCCTTGGGCCTCCCCAAGAGGACCCAGCCTTGGGCTCACCTCGGGGTTTCTCCATCCGAGGCAGCCCTTCTGTCCTCAGGTTCAGCGGTACCCGAGCCACGTGCCCAGCTTCCTGAGCCAAACCCAGGGTTACTTTCGGAGCCCACAGGCTCCCCTGCGGCGGGCAGCCGCGGTGCTTATAGGTGAGGCCAGGGCTGGGGTGCACACCGCCCCTGCACCCGGGGCTCTGACGGCCCTCCCTCCTGGCCGCGTGGGTCCCGCGCTCATGGGTTTGCCTTGGTTCAGGCTTCCTCGCCCATCACGCCAGCCCCAGCCGTGTCAGCCAGGACCTTCTGGACTCCCTGTTCCAGGGTGAGGACCCGACTCTCCGGCACCTCCCGGAGGCTGGGGTCCTGGGGAGGCGGCAGGAGTGATGGCTGGAGGGTGAGGGGCGGGGGGCCGGCTGTCCTGGAGCCCCGCCCGTCTGCCTGAGCCGCCCTCTCCCTGTAGACCTGCGGCAGCTGCAGAGCGACCCGGACTCAGCCGTGGGCGCGGCCGCGCACGTGTCCTGTCAGCAGGTGGCGCTGCTGGCTGCGGCGCAGAGCCGACCCCGGCGACCACTCCTCGCCCGCCTGTCTCGGCGCTGCGCACGCACCCCACGGGCCCCGCCGGTCTTCGCTGACAGCCCCTTTCCAGCGCAGACTGCTGAGGCTGCTCCCGCCCCGGATGAGCCTACCTGAGATCCCACTGTCCTGTCCGGCCCAGCCCTGTGGGGGGCAGTTTCTGAGCTGGGTCCTCGATCTCACCTGGGGCAGTCGTGGGCACCCCATCCGCCCTATCGCCAGGCCCCACCCCAGGTGATCTGCAGAGTGGGCCCCCTGGATCTGCCCAGAGGCCTGGTGTGCACAGCCCCCTGCAGGAGCCAGGGACCTGGCACTTCTGTCCAGCACCATCTCACCTCTTGCACCCATGTGTCCAACTGTCCTCCTCCACTCACCTCACCTGTCCACTCATCGAGCCCTAAGTGTACCCTGTGCCTCTGGCATGGGGGCAAACACCTGCCCACACGGCACCTGGCCTCTGCGAACCTGTGTAGTGGGAGATATTGTCACACTGCACAGCCTCATCCATGAGCTGGTGCTGAACTGGTGGCCCTGCCTCCTTCCCGAGCCCCTGCCCATTCTGGGCCCAGGCTCCCCTACAGACCCACCACCCATCATGTGCCCTCGACGGTGTCCTGGTGTTCCTGGCCTCTGCCCTCTCTGCTCAAGAGGCCTGGCCTGTGCTCCTGCCCACGGCTGCTGTCATGCCCCCCAGTCACCATCCTGCACCCTCCGCTCCTGTTTGTCCTGACCGTGGTTGTCTCTGCAGGCATCCCTGACTGCCCTGCTGGACACAGCCACCCGGGATTATATCTGTGGGTTCAGGTGTGGGGCTGATGTCCCTACCCTCACCAGCTGGCATCCCAGTGCCCTGCATGGTGCTCAGTGCCCGGGGACTGAATGAGGGGCTCTCCAACCCGGGAGGAGCCCCTAAAGCTGCAGCCCACTGCCCGACCTTTCCTGACTGTTTCCTCCTCCCAGAACATCTGCCTTGAAGTGTCCTCTGAGCCTGTGGGGCCTCCCTGGCCCTACAGGTCACCAGGGACTCCATCCTCGGCCTGTACCATCTCTCAGAACACCGGTGGGCATTTCTGGGGCAAGCATGCTTCCCCACCCCCACCCGCAGTTCCTGCATGGAAAGCTTCAAGTATACACTTGTCTGGGCACCAAAGGGCCCAGGAGACCATCTGGGGCCTGGGCCGGGGCTGAGATGTGGGTGCCATAAGCTGGGGCCAGGGTCCAAGATCAGGGTCAGGCTGTGGTCATAGCAAGGTGCCTGGCCGTGTGGTTAAGGGCTAGGTAAAAGGTATGTGGAGCCAAAAGCCATGTTCGGTGTTGTGGTGGGGGAAAGCATCACAAAGTCTAGTAAAGCAGAAAGAAAGTTTTATTTGGCATAAATTCAAAAACGCAAAAGTGGGAAATGGACAACCATACTGCCAGAGCCATGTCTGCCCGAGTCCCAGGAAATATCACAGAACAGACAAAAGTGGGAAAACGGACAAGCATGCTGCTAGAGCCATGTCTGTCCAAGTCCAAGGAAATATCAGAGAATAGGCAAGAGTGGCCATGTCTGCCCGAGTCCAAGGAAATATTACAGAGCCATCAGTATGAACATTACAAAATGGGCAAAACCATTGAAACCTTCACCTTTTCACAGATTGGCTAGAAACTGTGGTCCTGCATTTTGAATTGTCTTTCTTAACAAACATTGGTTTGAGTTTCAGTAAAGACAGTTAGGAGGGTCTTCACTGGTCCAACAACTTTCTATTCACTAAATGCTAATAGAAAAAGACAAGAGTGGAAGGTCTTTCGTGTTCTGTCTGAACAGTTTATGTGAAAGGTTCCCTAAAAGTTCTTCTCCAAGATTATTTTAGCTATTGTCTGTATACCTCAGGGCCCAATTGATGTGTCTTTGTGAGTCCAGCTCCAGCTGGGTCATATTCTCTATGCTCAAGGACAGGGAATAAAATGATTCCAATATTATTTTCTAAATCAGTGTGTTTGTTCAGATCCTCTGAAGCTGACTCCAATATGGGATTAAATACATGAGATTCATCAGGGAGATGCCTCTGAGATACACCAGTGAGGCGAGGCCAGGAGACCCCATTGAAGGGAAAGAAGGTCAGGTGGAGGCCCTCAGGGAGATCTCACGCCCAGGCCACCTGCCAGGGGAGTCCTGAGCCTCCCAGGAGTGGCGGGATCACCGCACTATGCGTGGCTTCGTTCAGAGGCAGCAGGACCTAGTCAGTGTCACTCACTGAGTGAGGTCTTCGGCCAGGGGCCGGGCTCAGGTATGGCCTGAATCAGTACCCTGGAGCAGCACCAGAGGGAAAAGACCAGCCTCTCCCTGCCCCTGGTGGCCCAGGGGCCAGGTCCGGCTCAGCATTGATGCCCGCTCCCCCTACCAAGCTTATCGCACCTGTCACGGACTGAATTATGTCCCCAAAAATGCGTGTATCAGTTTGGCTGGGCCATGATTCCTGGTAGTGTGTGATTTTCCCCTGTGCTGTAAATCCTGCCTCTATGATGTTAATGAGGGAGGATGGGCGGCAGTTGCGTTAGTGAGGCAGGACCCAATCTACAAGATTGGACTGTGTTTTGAGGCTCTCTCTTGAGATATAAAAGACAGAAGCGAGAAGAGGGGGGCGGAGAGGGGCGAGGACCTCACACCACCACGAAAGCAGTGCCGGGAGCAGCGCATGCTTTGGACCCAGGGTCCCTGGGCAGAGAAGCTCTTAGTCTGGGTGCAGATTGATGAGAAGGCCAACAGAGAAAGTCTTCCCCTGGAGCTGATGCCCTGAATTTGGGCTTTTAGCCTACTGTCTTAGTCATCTAGTGCTGCTATAACAGAAATACCACGGGTAGATGGCTTTAACAAAGCGAAATTTATTCTCTCACAGTCTAGTAAGCTACGGGTCCAAGTTCAGGGCATCAGCTCCAGGAAAAGGCCTTCTCTGTCGGATCCAGAGGAAGGTCCTTGTCTTCAGTCTTCCCTTGGTCTGGGAGCATCTCAGGGCAGGAATCTCAGGTCCAAAGGACGCGCTCTGCTCCCGGTGCTGCTTTCTTGGTGGTATGAGGTCCCATGTGTCTCTGCTCACTTCTCTCTTATATCTCAAAAGGGACTGGCTAAAGACCCTATCTAATCTTGTACACCTCATCAGTATAACTGCCACTAATCCATGTTATTACATCATAGTGACAGAGTTCCCAACACAAAAGGAAATCACATCAGATTACAAAATGTTACACAATCATGCAATACTGGGAATCATGACCCAGCCAAGGTGACAGAAATTTTTTGGGGACACAATTCAATCCATGACACCTATTTTAATGTGAAAAAATAAATTTCTATTTGTAAAGTTACCCACTTGTGGTATTTCTTTTATAGCAGCACTAGATGACTAAGACACCACCTCAGAGCAGACCCAAGGGTAATGCCCGCGAGAGGGGGCCATCAGAGCCCCTCACCAGGGAGAGAACAGCCGGGGCTATGTGGGCGGACCTGCCTTTTCTCACTGGGGTGGGATGAGCTGTCTCAGCCCATCCCATGGCACCCAGAGAGGCCAGACCGCTGGCCATGAGGCTGATCCTGGAGCCCAGGCTGTTTTATGCCAGGTGTCCACCTGCTTAGGAACACGCGTCCCCCTCGCCTTGTTGGGCCCCGCCCAGTTGCTAGAAGGTTCCCTGGACTCCTAGCCCGAGTGGTGAGGCTCCTGCACAGATTAAGGCCTGGGCCTGTGGGAGCGCAGCTTGTCAGGGGAATGCTCCACTGGGGCGCCCCACGGAGGCTCCGGGGATGTGTGGCCCCGTCCTGCCAGATTCCCGAGGCCTCCTACCTGCCTTCTGGGGTTTGCCCCAGCCTGGCCTCAGGTGACCATTTCCTGGGCTGAGAGTGCTGGCCCCGTGGCACCAACCCATCCATCACATCCACCGACAGAGAGCCACCTGGTGATAGGGGTGGCACCACCTAACCTACAACAAATTCACTTCCTTTCCACATGAGGCCTGCCTGCCACCAGGTGGGTTAGGCTTGGCCTTGATGCTGAAATACCCTCGAACGGAAGACCTCAGAGCACTGATGGTCCTAGACCCCAAGGGCCAACACTTGGATTCTGGGGACAGGGACAGGACGTCCTTGTCCTGGCCATGAGGTCTCTGGGCCCCAGGAGAAGTGCAGCGGGACCTGCTTGTTTAGTGCTTTCTATCCTGAAGGAGCCCTGCTGGCGCAGAGGTTAAGAGTTCAGCTGCTAACCAAAAGGTCAACAGTTCAAATCCACCAGCCACTGCTTGGAAACCCTATGGGGCAGTTCTATTCTGTCCTATAGGGTTGTTATGAGTCAGAATTGACTTGACAGCAATATTTTTTCTTTTGGCGTCCTGAAGTACAATGCTGTCAGTGACAGGACAGTGTCCACACGCCTACAAGGAAGACCAGTGAATACGACTATTACTCAAATTTACCCACCTACCACTAAGGCCAGAGATGAGGAAATTGAAGATTTTCCCCACCTTCTGCAATCTGAAATTGGTCAAATATGCCATCAGGATGCACTGATAATTACTGGTGATTGGAATTTGAAAGTTGGAAACAAAGAATCTGTAGTAGGAAAATATGGTCTTGGTGATAGAAATGACGCCAGAGATTACATGATAGAATTCTGTTAAGACCAATGACTTCTTCATTGCAAATACCTTTTTTCAACAGTGTAAACGGTGACTATACATGTAGAGCTCACTGGATGGAAATCACAGGAACCAAACTGACTACATCTGTGCACGTGGGCTAGTTCTCGAGAGAAGCCAACGGACGATGGAGAAGATGATGAGAAGGCTTAATATCATCTGTCAGAGCAAGGCCAGGGGCCGACTGTGGAACGGACCACCAATTGCTCCTACGCAAGTTCAAGTTGAAGCTGAAGAAAATTAAAATGAGTCCACAAGAACCAAAATATGACCGTGTGTATATCCCGCCTAAATTTGGAGACCATCTCAAGAACAGATTTGACGCATTGAACACTAATGACTGAAGACCAGAGAGTTATGAGATGACACCAAGGACATCATACACGAAGAAAGCAAAGGTCATTAAAAAGACAGGAAAGAAAGAAAAGACCAAAACTGATGTCAGAAGAGTCTCTGAAACTTGCTCTTGCACAGAGTAGCTAAAGCAAAAGGAAGAAATGACCACATAAAAGAGCTGAACAGAAGATTTCAAAGGGCAGCTCAAGAAGACAAAGTAAAGTATTATAACGAAATATGCAAGACCTGGAGTTAGAAAACCAAAAGGGAAGAACATGCTTGGCATTTCTCAAGTGGAAAGAACTGAAGAAAAAAGTCAAGCCTTGAGTTGCGATTTTGAAAGAGTCTGTGGGCAAAATATTGAACGACACAGGAAGCAGCAAAAGAAGATGGAAAGAATACGCAGTCACTGCACCAAAAAGAATTGGTTGACATTCAGCCATTTCAGGAGCTAGCATATGATCAAGAACCAATAGTACTGAAGAAAGAATTCCAAGCTGAACTGAAGTCATTGGTGAAAAAACAAGGCTCCAGGAATTGATGGAATACCAAATGAGATGTTTCAACAAATGGATGCAGTGCTGGAGGGGCAAACTTATTTATGCCAAGAACTTTGGAAGACAGCTACCTGGCCAGCCGACTGGAAGAGATCCATATTTGTACCCATTCCAAAGAAAGGTGATAGAACAGAATGCAGAAATTATCAAACAATATCATTAATATTACACTGTCTTAGGCTGGGTTCTCTAGAGAAACAAAACCAGTGAAGTGTGTACATATATATGTGAATGTATATATACGTATATATATAGAGAGAGAGAGCGAGAGAGAAAGATTTCTATTGAGGAAATGGCTCACGCGGTTGTAGAGGCTGGAAAGTCTCAAGTCTGTGGGTCAGGCTGGCGGCGTCTTCTGACTCACGTAGTTGCAGGAGCTGGTGAATCCGAGATCCAGGCTGCAGAGGCTGACAAATCCCAAGACTGGTAGGCAAGCTGCTAGCTCAAGTCCCAAGAACCAGAGTTCAAACGGACAGGAGCCAGCTGCAGGATCCAGAGCAAGCAAAACCCCATGAGCCTTGACAGAAAGTCCACCTATACTGGATGCAGGCCACACCCCCAAGGAAACTCCCTTTCAGCTGAGTGGCTACTCACAGCAGATCCCATCAAGGAGGTGATCACATTATATCAGATCTCATCATGGAGGTGATTACATCATTATACAACTGCCAAACTACATCATAAATACCAAACCACTGAGAATCGTGGCCCAGCCAGACTGACATACAACATTAACGATCACGCACGCACACAAGTAAAATTTTGCTAAAGATAATTAAAAGATGGTTGCAGCAGTGCAACTGCCAGAAATTCAAGCTGTATTCAGAGGAGGACATGGAACGAGGGATATTATTGCTGATGTCAGATGGATCTTGGCTGAAAGCAGGGAATACCAGAAAGATGTCTACTTGTGTTTTATTGACTATGCAAAGGCATTCGACTGTGTGGATCATAACAAATTATGGATAACATTGCGAAGAATGGGAATTCCAGAACACTTAATTGTGCTCATGCAGAACCTGTACATAGACAAAAAGGCAGTCATTTGAACAGAACAAGGGGATACTGCATGGTTTAAAATGAGGAAAGGTGTGTGTCAGGGTTGTATCCTTTCACCATATGCATTTAATCCATATGCTGAGCAAATAATTTGAGAAGCTGCACTATATGAAGAAGAATGCGGCATCAGGATTGGTGGAAGACTCGTTGTTACCTGCAATATGCAGACGACACAACCTTGCTTGCTGAAAGTGAAGAGGATTTGAAGTACTTACTGATGAAGATCGAAGACTACAGCCTTCAGTATGGATTACATCTCAACATAAAGGAAACAAAATTCCTCATAACTGGACCAATAAGCAGTAAATGGAGAAAGGATTGAAGTTGTCAAGGATTTCATTTTACTTGGATCAACAATCAACGTCCATGGAAGCAGCGGTCAAGAAAACAAACAACATATTGCTTTCGGCAAATCTGCTGCAAAAGACCTCTTTAAACATTGAAAAACAAAGATGTCACTTTGAGGACTAAGATGTGCCTGACCCAAGCCACAATATTTTCAATCACCTCATATACATGCGGAAGTTGGACAGTGAATAAGGAAGACCGAAGAATTGACTCCTTTGAATTATGGTATTGGTGAAGAATATTGAATATACCATGGACTGCCAGAAGAACAAAGTCTGTCCTGGAGGAAGTACAGCCAGAGTGCTCCTTGGAAGTGAGGATGGGGAGACTTCTTCTCACGTACTTTGGACGTGTTATCAGGAGGGATCAGTCACTGGAGAAGGATATCATGCTTGGTAAGGGAGAAGGTCGGTGAAAAAGAGGAGGACCCTCAGCGAGATGGATTGACACAGTGGCTGCAACAATGGGCTGAAACATAGCAATGATTGTGAGGATGGTGCAGAATCGGGCAGTGTTTTGTTCTGTTGTACATAAGGTCCCTGTGAGTTGGAACCGACTCAGTGGCACCTAACAGTAACAGGGCCTGGGCTTTATCCAGTCCCCATTCCTCTGGTTTTGCTTTTTAAGAAACCCTTAAGAGGGTTTCCAAAGTAGGACCATGGGCTCTCTAGAAGTCAAATAGGCCTATGAGGCACTGAGCTTCCCCTCTGCGTGGGGGAGGGCAGTTTCTAGGGGATTTCAGCAACCTGGATCTGGGGTCATTTGGGTGGACTGTCCTCTGTATTGACAGTAACTTCACTGCTGGGCCTGGATCCAGGTTTCTTGGGGTTAATTTCCCTGCCATAGCAGAACCTCCATACCTTCCCTTTCTGAGTCCTGCATGTGGCATGTCAGTGGTGCCCTGGGACAGAGGGGCCAATGTGGCTCCGCCACCTTCCACCCCACAAGTCTGGCACATTAAGGGAGCCTGGGTTCTGCTGTGAAGGTAGACTGTTGTCCCCACCAAGTAAAGGCTATTGAAGTTCTGAGAGATTGAGAGTAACTCTCTGGCTAGATCAGTTGGTCCCTACCTCTCCCTAGAAGTGGGGCCACTGCCCCCACTAGCTGCTGAGGTCCTGGATTTCCACTAGGGCAGAGCCCCTGCAAGTAATGAACTCAACACGTGCCCCAGGACCCGCTGACATCCCAGGGACCTGCAACTCAAGGATTATGAGGCCTCTTCTCTTGAGATAGTAAATATATTTGGATGAAACAGACTAAAGGCTAGTTTCTTCAGTTGGGGTCCTCACTTCTCCAGGAGCCTCCCTGTGACCCGAGGAGGGCAGGTCTGTCTGCTGTCAGCCACACTTACTCCAGCATGTCTGTGGCTCCTGCAGGCTAAGGATGGGCCTGCTATCTTCAGCAGGATGTTTCTGAGTTCCCTGAGACACAGGTTCCTTCAATACCCCAGACAGTGACCCATCCTGGTGGAATTCCTCATCTAGCCAAAACTGCTCTGCCCCATTCTTTCATAGGCAAGAGAGCATGCTGGGAGGGCTGGGGCACAGCCTCGGGGTGGGCCTGCTCCAAGTGGCCAGGCCCAAGCAAAGCGCAGACCACGGGCCAGTTCAGGAGTGCAGATCCACAGCTCCATACCAGTAATAATGATCTGATAATAACCCAATTGAAAACAGGCAAGGGATCTGAATAGACATTTCTCCAAAGAAGATACACAAATGACCAATAACTACATGAAAAGTGCTCAACAGCAGTAGTCATCAGGGAGACGCAAATTAAAACCACCAGATATGAATTCACCCCTCACCCAGGATGGCTAGAAGAAAACATAAAACAGAACCCCACAGGTGTTAGCGAGGATGCAGAGAAACTGCAACCCTCACACATTGCTGGTGGGATTGTAACATGGTGCAGCTGCTGTGGAGCCGTGTGGTGGTTCCTCAAAAAGTGAAGCATAGAATCATCATATGAGCCAGCAATTCCAGCCCTGGGTATAGGCCCCCGAAGAACGGAAAGTGAGAACGCAAGCAGAAACATGAGCACCAGTGTTCACTGCAGCGCTATTCACCACATCCAAAAGGTGAGATCAACCCCAGGGTCCATCAACAGACCATGGATAAATAAAAGGCGGTATATCCATAGAACGGAAGATCACGCAGCCGTAAAAAGGAATGAAGTTGGGATACATGCTGCAGTGTGGATGGACCTTGGAAACGTTATGCTGAGTGAAAGGAGCCAAGTGTGAAAAGACAAACATTGTATGATCCCACTTATGTGAAATACCTAGAGTAGGCAAATGCATAGAGGCAGCAAGGAGAGCCGTGGTTGCCAGGGGCTGGGGGGAGCAGGGAGTGAGGAGTTAATGGAACGAGGTTTCCTTTTGGGGTGATGAAAATATTCTAGAAATAGAAAGCAGTGACGTTGCAGAACAATGAGAATGCACTTAATGCCACTGAACTGTACACTTAAAGATGATTAAAGCAGTAACGTTATGTATATTTTATCGATATAAAACAGTGGAAAAAACAAACTCGGTTATCACGCCATAATGAGAAATGGAGTCCTGACACATGGAAGAACCTTGGAAACATTATATTGAGTTGATTCTGACTCGTGATGACCCCATGTGACAGAGCTGAACTACCCCATTGGGTTTTCTAGGCTGAAATCTTTATGAGAGCAGAAAGCCAGGTCTTTCTCCTGTGAAGCCACCGGCTGGGTTCGAACTGCCAACCTTTCAGTTAGCATCCAAGTGCTTAACGACTGTGCCACCGGGGTGAAGTAAGACACAAAAGGACAAATACTGTGTGAGCTCACTCGTATGAAACATCCAGAATAGGCAAAGGCACAGAGACCAAAGTTTATTAGGGGTTACCAGGGGTTATTGCTTGAGGGTTACTGCGTTTGTGTTAAAGGAAAAAACCCAAAACCAACCCGTTGCCGTCGAGTCGACTCCAACTCATAGCGACCTTATAGGACAGAGCAGAACTGCCCCACAGAGTTTCCAAGGAGCGCCTGGTGGATTCGAACTGCCGACCTCCTCGTTAGCAGCCGTGGCACGTAACCACTGCGCCACCAAAGGGGATGAGAAAACTTGAAAACGGAGGGTGAAAGCAGTTGAAATGGCAAACGTCATGTACGTATCACCACAATAAAAACGAAAAAGGGAAAAACCAACACCTAACTCAGTGTCCGGTCCTTCAGGCACCATTCACCCACTTGGCCAGGGAGAGGGCGGCCAGGCCTGGAGCGCTGTCCTCGTGGGCTAGGAAGGCTCCTGGCCCAGCTGTAGCAGCAGCGCCAGAGCGGCGTAGAGTGCACAAACGCGGCCTTGGGCCTCGGGCTCCCAGCACGCCTGGGGGGTGCCCACCTGCAGCTCCAGGCCGCACTCTTCCAGCAGGACCCAGGCGGGGGCGTCCTCGCCCCAGACACTACCCAGGAGCCCTGGCGGCAGAGATACATCCCTGGGCTCCTGCCATGGGGAGCTCTGCTCCAAGATGCTCCCCACCTGCCGGGATGGGGTGGTGGCTGTCAGGCGGGGGCCCCAGACTTCCCACATCCACCCCCACCACCTTCCAGATGCACCCTGCCCAGCCCAGCACACCCCCCCCCCCACAACCTGTACCCTCTCACCAGCTCGAGCTGCCCCCGCAGGGCCCCCGTCTTCAGTGCCTTGGCCATCAGCAGGTGCTGGATCTCACTCAGAGCTATGGAGAGACGTCTCAGGTAAGGGGGTTCTGGAAGATCCCAACCAGGGCACTACATCCCTCCCCTTGCCCATAGCCTGCCCACCCCGGGGCCCTCACCGGTTAGGGCCCCCAGCAGGTAGAAGACAGGGATGGCCAGGTCCTTCACCAGTTCTCTGGAGGGCAGCACCAGGCATTCAAGGACAGCGCCTGCTGGCCCGTCCTGCGGCTCCACCTGTCCGCAGAGCAGGCCTTGCTCCAGCTGGGACACAGGATGGGCGGGCAGTGAGCTGGCTGGTGGGCCCAGGCCTCACCACTCCCCGCCTGTACCCACCGCTCACCGTCTCCTCCAGGGCCTGTAGCACCGGCACGTCCAGGAGCAGCCTCCCCAGGGCCTCCAGCAGCTCCTGCCGCAGCTCGCCACTCAGGTGCGCCAGTTCCTGGGCCTGGGCCTCCACCTCTGCCCGCAGGCCCACAAAGTCCTTGGTGACTGCCGCCCACTCCTCTGCTGGCCCGTCTGCAGGGACAGAGGCTGGCATTGCCCAGGTGCCCCCAGAGCTCTGGAGAACCGGGGTCAGGATGGGTGGGCTGAGCCTGGGGGCACTGACCGGACAGGAAACTGCAGGACTGCCGGACGGACTTCATCAGCAAGGTGAGGCCCGGGGGCGGAGAGTGGCCGGCCACAGGGCTGGTGGGCTTGTTGGCTGGGGCACACAGGGAGGGGAGGGAGGCAGGGCTGGTCAGTACAGGACCCCAACACTGGCCGGCTGGGGTCCTTCTGTCAATCTGTGTGTGTGTGGTGGGGGGGGACAGTACCTACCCACCTGGGTTCTGTTTGCTCCTTAGCATCCATGGCTCATGGGACATCCTTTTTGGGCAGACAACGACCCGGAGGGGGCCCATGGTCTCACCTGCTGGGGACTTCGGGAAGGTTCTCTGCTTCTTGTCCGGGAAGAGGAGGATGTCTGGTGGCCAGGCAGGGGCAGAGACAGGAGACTGGTCATCTTTGGCTCCTGAACTCTCCTTCGCCCATCAGGGTGCCCTGGTCCAGGTGAGGTCCTGCCCCAACCTCCCACACGCCAGAGCACAGGCCTTGGCCACCCAGACCAGAAAGCTGAGCGGTCTGTCCCTAGCCCTCCAGGGGCTCTTTCCAGGCCTCCCTGCCTTGCCCCCCAGCCTGAGCCCCAGAGGACACCCCACTCCCTGCTCACCCCAGTCAGAGCTGATAACCAGCTGTGCCACCTGGAAGGCGAGGATGCTGCCAGAGGGGATGGTGATTGTATTCTTCCGGCTTAGGTGGCCCTGGCTGTCGCCCTGGGGGGGGGGAGGTGGTTCAGGCTGGACTCTGGGCTCCGAGCTGTGGATGCTGGGGGGGCATGCTGGGTGCCACTAGCGGTGATCACCATGGCCGCAGCAGCCAGGCTACTTGGCCGGCTCGGGGCTATGCACAGCTCCCTGGGGTGCCCACCCCTCACCTCTGGCGCCTGCCCGATGCTTGTCCTCGGACTGTTCTCACACCTGCAAGCACGCAGCTCCCAGCAGTGAAAACTGGCCTAAGCCCTCCTGCTTGTGGGTGCAGGTGACCTCCACCTCCTTCTGTGTCTGCAGCACCTCTGTCACCATGTACACGTTGTCCCCGCGGTTCCGCAGCTGCTGCAGGACTTTGTGCACCGGCTGCCGCAGGCGCCTGGGGGCGGGGGGTGGGGGCACGGGTTTGGCTTGGCCTCCGCCCGCCGCCCCGTCCACCTGCCACAGCTCCCACCCTGGGCCAGGCTGGCTGATGTTCGGGCCTCAGTCTTCCTGCCTGCCAAGTGTGGCAATGGAGCCATGGTGCTCTGGGGACACCCAGGCACAGGGTAGTCATCATTCCACTCTGGGTGCTCCTGATGGTGTTTGTGGGCACAGGGGGTGCAGGGAGAACAGAAGACGTCAGGGAAGGTGCCCCCCAACTGCTCCCTACCTCCTCCTCCCAGGGTTCAGATGGCAAGTCTCCTCTCCCCGAACCCCTGGTCCACTGCATCCTCCTGGGACTCCCCTGGCTCCTGCCCTCCCCTCACCAGCCCCCTGGGCCCTCAGGATGCAGTTTTGGAAGTCAAGGCCCCAAATCACCTCTGCAGCCTCACTCCCCACTGCCTGCTGCCTCACTCCCCACTGCCTGCTGCCCCCTCTGCTCAGGCCTCGCCCCCAGCATGCCAGCCTCTGGGTCTTCCTCCACAGGATGGTCCACCTCCCATAGCGCGGAACCAGTGGCCCCACACCCAGGGTCTGCGCCATCTCCACTTGAGGCCCAGGAATCAAGACATGGAGGGGCTGCTTCGGGTCAGTAGTGCCCACCCCCAAAGGGGCCCATCTTTCCCGGTGCAGGGCCTCCCAGGTACACAGAGCCCTGACCCCAAAGGGGCCCACCTTTCCTGGTGCAGGGCCTCCCAGGTGCTGGGGTCCACACGCAGCATGAACACGTCCATCGAGGTGCTCGAGCTGCTGGATATGGCAGCCCTGCCTGAGATCTCCCACTGTCCCTGAACCTTCAGCTCCATGCTGCCCTTCATCTGCCTGTCTACGGTGTCATGGAAGTGGAAGGGTCCGCTGCGCTGCATGGCTGGGGCGAGAGCAGAGCTGAGGCCTGCCGACACCTGCCTCGTTCCAGGCAGAGCGCACAACACGGGACACAGGCCGCGCAGCCTCAGGAGAGGCCCGGGGCTGGAGCTGCCGGCAGGCTGACCCCCCCCAACTCGCCCAGCTGGGCTGTCTCAGCACCAGGTCCAGTACCTGGTTCCGGAGCATTGGGCTCTAGGATGTCCCAGATGGACAGGTTCACGGGTATGTAGCGGGGTCTCCAGAACCAGGACCTTGAGGGCTTCCTGCCCACCAGGCAGTAGGGCTGGAAGCTGGCGGAGCTCCGCAGGCTGTCCACAGGAATGAGCTTCCCGCTGTGGTCCAGCTCCCGGACCACGCTGCGGGCCACGCCCTCGAAGGAGGAAGATGGCATGCTCTGTGGAGGGCAGAAGGTCAGTCTGCAAGGACTGGGAAGGGGCAGGCCGGTGCTTGGATGCCTCCTGTGATGGGGAGCTCTTTCCCTGCAAAGCAGCCCTACCCAGCAGCCCTGGTTGCGCTGACTGGCAGAAGCTCTTACCCGACTGCTGCCTGACACAGAAAGTGTGCCCGTCCAGCCAGCCTTGACCATGGCCCCACGGGACTGTGAGCACCCTGACCGATATGGCACTCCCAGCCCTCAGCGGGACCTGGACACTGCCACTCACACCTGTGTTCCACGGCTAGTGCCTGCAGGGCACCGCCCCGAGGCCTCCTCCCTGCCAGCATCGCTTTGGCTGCCCCTCCCTGAGGAAAGCGGCCATCAGGGAGGGCCAGGGTGGGGCTATCAGGGAGGGGCGGGGCTATCAGGGAGGGATGGGGGGTCATGGGGGGGGTGAGGCCATCAGGGAGGGGTGGGGCCATGAGGGAGGGGCGGGGGGGGCAACCATGGAGGGGTGGGGTCATGAGGGAGGGGTAGGGGAGCAATCAGGGAGGGGTGAGCCATCAGGAGGGCAGGGACACTGGGCAGGGGCAGGGTTGAGGAGCTGGGCGGCTGGGAGGCTAGGAAGGATACAGGGGCCCCATGCCTGCACGGCCAGATCGTGCTGGCCCGCCTGTCCTCTGGGCCTTCTCTACGCCTGAGCCCACGAGCCCCCTGCCCATGGCGCTGATTCCCAGGAAGGGTCAGAGGTCCACATGGGCCTGACCCAGAACCCAGGAGGCCTGACCGCACTGCCTGGAACTGGCCACTCCCATAGAGAGCAAGCGCCTCCGTGTGGCCTGAGAAATTGGAGGGTGGGACCCGGAGGGCCTGGGGCAGAGGTCCAGCACGGAGGGCTGGCGCCTGAAAGGCTCCCTCCGAGTCCAGCCCGGGGTAGCTCATCCCATGGGACGCAGCCTGCCCCAAGCCCGGAGGTCGTCAAAGTGGGGGTGCTTGTGGGCCACCCACCCCCCACCCCACCAGTGGGCGGCCCTACCCTGAGCCGCAAGCGCGAGACACGGAGCACCGCGGCTGGGGCGTCTGTCGCGGGGAGCAGGTGGGCGAGGGCGCGGCTGGGGCAGGCTCACCCTGACCGGGGGCCAAGGGGTCTGGACGCACAGAGCAAAGCGAGGCTGCCTTGTGGGTCAGGGATGCACGCTGCCTCTGCCCTGGAGTTGTGACTGGATGGCTGGAGGTGCCCAGGTTCAAAAGTGAAACCAGCAGCCTGACGCAACTGCTAGCCTTCCCGGAAACGCCCTGGGGCTGCCCACCCTAAGCCTGCCAGGAAGTCAGGAAGCTCCTGCCTCCTCCTCCTACTCTGGGCCTGGCTTCCCTCAGGCTGCAGCTGCCTGTGGTTGCTTCCTTCTTAGGAAAGACTCCTAACCAGCACTTAGAAAGTCTTAAAAAAAAAAAAAAAAAAATCCTTGCCATCGAGTCGATTCTGACTCATAGCGACTGTCATGGATTGAATTGTGTCGCCCAGAAATATCTGTCAACTTGGCTGGGTCATGATTCCCAGTATTGTACGATTGTGTAACATTCTGTAATCTGATGTGATTTCCTTATGTGTTGTAAACTTTATTACTATGACTTAATAAGATGGATTAGTTGCAGTTTTGCTGAGGAGGTACACAGGATTGGATAGTGTCTTCAGCCACTCTACTTTGGGATATAAAACAGAGAAGCGAGTAGAGACACATGGGAACCTCGTACCACCAAGAGAGCAGGGCCGGGAGCAGAGCGAGTCCTCTGAACCTGAGGTTCCTGAGCAGAGAAGCTCCCAGACCAAAGGAAGATTGATGACACGGACCTTCCTCCAGAGCCGACAGAGAAAGTGGTCCCTTGGAGTTGACGCTCTGAATTTGAACTTGTAGCCTACTGGACTGTGAGAGAATAGACTTCTCTTCGTTAAAGCCATCCACTTGTGGTATTTCTGTTACAGCAGCACTAGATGACTAAGACAGCTACTCTATAGGGTAGAGCAGAACTGTCCCATAGGGTTCCCAAGGAGCGGTTGGTAGATTTGAACTGCCGACCTTTTGGTTAGCAGCCGTAGCTCTTAACCACTGCACCACTGGGGCTCCCATTAGTCATTAGGGAAATGCAATTAAAACGGCAACCAGGAACAACTTTACACCCACGAGGATGACTTCACAAAAAATACAGGAAGAAAAAGGGGTCAGTGAGGATGTTGAGACACAGGAAGCCTTGCGCTTTGCTGGCTGAAATGGGAGATGGTGCGGCCTCTGTGGAAAACAGTCAGGCAGTTCCTCAAACAGAGAAACACAGTGACCGTCCGGCTTGAATTGCGTCCCCTAAAGATAAAGGTTGTAAATCCCAACTTCTACGCCTGTGGTTATAATCACACTTGCGAACGGGTTGGGTTGTCTTTGTTACATTAACGAGACAGGATTAGTGTAGAGTGTGTCTTAAATCAATCGCTTTTGAGATCTAAAAGAGATTAAACAAGCAAATAAGGAAGCAGAGATGGGGGAACAGATGCCAAGCCACACGAAGATCTCCCAGGAGCAGAAGCTCAGAAGAGACAAGGACCTTCCTCCAGAGTCGACAGACAGAAAACCATCTCCTAGAGCTGGCGTGCTGAATTTGGACTTCTAGCTTCCTAAACCTTCAGAAAATAAATTTCTGTTTGTTAAAGTCACCCACTTGTGGTATTTCTGCCATAGCAGCACTAGACGACTAAGACACCACTGACCCAGCAATTCCACTCCTAGGTATAGACCCAAAAGAAATGAAACCAGATGTCCACACGGAAATTTCAAATGGATGTCCACAGCAGCATTCACAAACAGCTCCCAAATGGAAGCAACCCAAGTGTCCATCAACAGAGAGTGGATACAAAATACGGTCGATCCATACAGGGAGAGATTATTTAGCCAAAAAGAGGAATGGCGTTCTGACACATGGTACCACACAGATGAACCTTGAGAGAGGCATGCTAAGTGAGACGCCCGTCACAGAAGGTCACATACTCTCATTCCATGTACGTGACCTGTGCAGAATAGGTAAATCCACAGAGAGAAAGCAAGTCCGAGGTTGCCGGGGCTGGAGGGAGGAGGGAGGAAGAGGGAGGGAGGAGGCGGGGACTGACCACTAAGGAGTTCTGGTTTCTTTTCGGGGTGATGAAAATTTTCTAAAATTGTTTGTGGTGACGGATGCGCAACTCCGTGACTATGCTAAAACCCTTGGAATCGTGAAGTGTAAATGGGTGAGTTGTAGGGAACGTGGTTTCTTTCTCAGTAAAGCTGTTGTACGAAAGCCCAGAGTGGAGCAGCCACCTCTGGGCTCCACAGGCTGTCTGCCCTGTTGCTCCAGGTTCCGATGGGCGTTCAGACCACCTTCTACCTTACTCTGCGTGGAGTCTAGTCAGCCCCCGAGCTCAGCCTCATGTTGTCAGTCTGGTCATTCCGGCTGGAGTCCTGGGTCTGGAGACCGTAGAGGGGACGGTCAGAAAGCCTCTTTGGGCCTTAAGGTCAGGGCTTGAGTGGGGCCCTGTGCCTCCTCCCTCTCCCCGGGCCTGGTCCAGGTGGAGGGGTGATGTCAGGCCCCTCCAGGTCCCACCCCCTTCTCTTTTAGGTACTGGTTTGCAGATCTGGGGTATAGGCCTCATCAGAGGATGTGCTGCTGGGAAGGGCTGGTCTCACCAGGGCCCCCGCAGGCAGGGACCCCACCCTATCCTGGAGCCCAGGATCCAGGAGGGCCAGCCCCTCCCTGACAGCACCAGGGCCAGCACCCATGGGGCCTGTCTTGGTGCCGTCTCCATGATGAAGACTGGCCTTCCTGGGCTCCCGTGTCGCTGAGAGACCACGGGGCTGGGCTGACTGAGAGGGCTTGGGCCACTCTGCAAGGCCTTGTCCCAACAGCCCCACCCCAACAGTCAAGGAAAGGCCTGGCCTGGTGTCCTGGCCCCAGGCTCTGGGACCCTGTTTCTCTCTCTATGCTGGGGGCTGGGGGTGCAGGCCTGAGGGCTCTGCTGGCTGACGGCTTCTGGGACTGGGGCACCCACCCAATTGGCATGGACCTCCCAGCTCCAGTCCAGCCCCCGAACCCACTAGCTGGGCCTGAGCAGGAGGTGGTGGGCAGGAGGCTCCAGGAGCCCACGTAGGGCGAGTGCCTGTGTGGATGTGTGTCAGCCTGTGTATGCAAGTGTATGTGTACATGTATGTGTACACGTTTCTGAATGTTAGACGGGTGTCTACGTGTGTACGCGTGTATGTGGATGTATATGTACACGCACGCATGCATGTGGATGTTTGTGCATACGGGTATGTATGTGCACGTATGTATGTGTTTCTTTGCATGCGTTGTGCATTTTGTGCCTATGTGTGATCCGTGGCGGGTCACGCTGCTGGCCCAGCACCGGGTCCGCCTGGGCACTCTGTCCTGCAGCTCAGCCTGTTTCCTCTCGTCTCCCACACAGCCCTTTGCAGCCTCCGGCGCTCCTTATCTCTGTCTGGGGCGGCTGGGCTCCAGGCCAGCGTGGGAGGTGGGCATCCTAAGTGCACTGTGAGCCTCGACGACTCTCGGGACAGGGGCGTGGGGGACCACGCGGACTTTCCAGGAATGGGCTGGGGGCGGCAGCCGCAGCGGCAGTGTCATGTGGGCACACGCTGAGGCCGTCCACGGGCAGGACACACAGAGCAGTGGCCGGGAGCCAAGACGGGCGTGGACCCCTGGGGCTGGCCTGTGCGGCATCTGGATGGGGCATGGCTGCTGTGACCCCTTGTTTACATTTTGTAATAACCCAAAACAAGAAGTGCTGGCTGGGTGGGTGAGGGCGCCACGGGCTCTTGACTCCAGAGAGGACGGAGGTCAGCCCTAGCAGGAGGAAGTGAGACTGCTCTCCCTGCCCCCACTGGAAGACTGGCCCGTGGGGGGAGCACGGGGAACCTCTGGGGGACCAAGACTGCAGGTGCTATTACTGGGCCCCCAGGCCAGAGGACAGTGAGGCCCCCTAGGTGGGCTGGGTAGACCACCACCCACGATGGCGAGCTGAGACCCGGGACTGGGAGCCTGGGGAGCTTCTCGAAGTGTGTGCATCACCTGGGCCTGTGAGCAGTGCTGGCTGGGCCCCAAGGAAGAGGAACCTCCCTGCCAACCACAGCACCTGCTGTCTCCCCACCCCCGCCTTGGTTTAAGGGCCTGGGACAGGCAGTGACAGGCCTCAGCCCCAGGGACAGAAACAAGTCGCCAAGACCCCGGAAGAGGAGCTCTGGGGCAGTAGGCCAGCCAGCGGAGGGCGCCTCGTGGGGAACCTGGGAGAGTGGCGCTGGGGCAGAGGAGGAGTGGAGAGGCATTCTTGGCGGGGAAACAGCCAGCATGTGGCGGGAGAAGTACCAGGAGGGTGAGGGGCACAGGGGACACACCCAGTAGGAGGCCGGTCTGGCCCAGCCCCCACCGCCCGGGGCTCAGGAGGCCGCCAGCACCTTCTCAGGCCTCCGGGATGGTGATGCTTCGGGACACGGTCACGGGGAAAGACCCGGAGCAGAGCAGCCGCCTGGCCTCTCCTCCCCTGCTCCCGCCCAGCCCCTCCTGCGCTGGGAACCCTTGCTGGGCGCCCCGAGGAGCTGGGGCTGGGGCTGGGACTGGGGCCACGCGGGTGTCCCGGGGTGTGTCCGCGCGGGCAGGCGAGGCCACCTGTCCTCACCCCACCTCCACGCGCCCCACCCTGACTTTACCTGCCCGGCCCTTCACCCTGTCCCCACCAGCCTCACCGTCACCCGCCCCGCCCACCTTCACTCCCACCAAGAGCATCGAGCTTGGTAAATTAGACGGTCAGCGAAACAGAGGAAGACCCTCAAGGAAATGGACGCAGTGGCTGCAAAATGGGCTCAAGCATGGAAATGATCATGAAGGTGGCGCACGGCCGGGCAGTGTTTCCTTCAGTTGGACACAGGGTCGCTACGGGGCGGAACCCACCGAGGGCACCTAACAACCACGCGCACCCACCTGCCCCGCCCCTCGCAGGCGCGCCTTCACCCCGTCTAGCTCTCACCTCCGCTCGTCCCGCTGCCTCACCCGGCTCACACCTCTGCCCCTGCGGCGGCCCGGGGACCTGCGCCCCGCAGCCAGCTCCCAGAGCAGCCCTGGCGCGGAAGCGCTGTCGGGGAGGGGCCGAACGCGCACGCAGTCGGGCTGCTGCGGCGCGTCGGAGAGTGCTGAGCGCGGAGAGCGGGCAACAGGCCTTCCCTTTGGCGGGATGTGTTCCTTGGCGGAGCGCAGCCGGAGCTCAGTACGTGGTAGGCCGGCCCCAGGCCCAAGGCTGGGGGCGTGGGCGGCTGGCCTGCTGCCGAGTTGATGAGAGCACATGGCAGACTGTCTCCGCGAGACTGAAAGCACGAGCGGTTGTGCCCCGTGGAAACGCTATGGCGAGGGAGTAGGAGCGGAACCGTGAAATGCTCTCTCAGGCGGACCTGGCCGGCAGGAGGGTGCGATTTGCCTTGCGGTTGGCAGTATGTGATGCAGCCCGCAAGGGGGACCCGCGGTCCTCTTTCTCAGTCACTTCCTGTCCCCCCCAGGATAAAGGCAGGGGGCACCCATGGGTAGTGGACCGCGTGCCAGCCCCTGCTCGCCCCTGGGGCTGGTGAGTCCAGGCCGTCTGACTCCGACTGTGCAGACCTCGGCCTTGGGGAGAATGCTGGCAGGAGCTGGAATGGTCCCACGCCACGTCCAGATTGGGGTGGGAAATCCCCTCCGTTGGGTGGGTGGGTGCAGGCTGGGTCAGTAGGGGGCAGGGGCATGCACTTTTGCAGGATAATGAGATGAGGCCAGATTGCAAAGATGGGTGTACCCATGAGGGGGACCCCACCGAGGGTTTGACATTTTTTGCATGTCCCTGATGAAAGTCGCATTTAAAATGAGCCATTGCAAGTCGCTTTAGTTACTCCCCACCCCCTGCTGAGAAGCTGGTACCAGGGTACCCTACGTCGTGGGGTGGTTGGGAGGAGCAGAGCGCACCCCAGGGAGGAAGTGAACCAACCTGCCATTCATAAGAGCAGCTCCTCAAAGGTGAGTGAGGCTGGAGAAGGAAACCCTTGCATGGGAAAAGGGTGGGAAGCTGGGGGGAGGGCAGCGGAGGGAAATTCTCCGGTGGAGACAGAGGAAGCTGTCCACGGCAGTGGCCTTCTACAGACATGGATGTGCAATCCTCAGGTTGCATTTGGTGCTGAATGTGTGTGATGGAAAACCCTCCCTGTCCCAGAGCCCCACCCGGGCCGCCAGGGGAGTGTGCACAGGCAGAGAGGTGAGGCGAGAGAGACCAGGCGGGCAGCAAGAAGAGGCCATTGGGGGAAAGAGGGACACAGACTAGTCGATCCAGGGTCTCGGGAATCTGGAGGAGGGCAGAGACTTGCTGTGGGCTAGGGATTGACCCGATTCTGCATCAGTGTCCCAGGATAGGGTGTGCTGGATGTCAGAAGACAGGATGCTGGAGCCAGCCTCCCTGGGTTCCACCCCCCACTCCTCCTTGTTCTCTCCGTGGCTGATACAAGTGGCCAATGTTCTGTGCCTTAGTTTCCTCATCTCTAAGACGGGTCATTGTAAGGCTTCATTGAATGCTAACACTAGAGAGAGTCCCTGGTGGTGCAAACAGTTAATGTGCTCGGCTACTAACCAAAAGGTCGGTGGTTCCAGTCCACCTAAAGGCACCTTGGAAGAAAGGCCTGGTGATCTACTTCCAAAAAATCAGCCATTGAAAACCCTATGGAGCATAGTTCCACTCTGACACACATGGGGTCGCCACGAGTTGGGGTCCACTTGATAGCAACTGTTTTTTTTTTTTTAAACACTAGAACAGGCCTGGCATAATATAAGCGCTATGAACATGCTGATGATTTTTGTCTGGTATTCGTAAACAATGCTATACTCAATATTTTTGTTCAGAAGTCTTTGTGTGTCTTAAGGGTCTGAGACTTGAGGAACCCTTGAAGCCATGGCCCCCGGATGTTCTGTTAACCCAGAACTAAAACCATTCCTGAAGCCCACTCTTCAGACAAAGATTAGACTGGACTGTAAAACAAAATAATACTCATTAATAGTGTGCTGATTTTTTTTTTAAGGAGCTTTATGATTTTAGCTTTTATGTTTAGGTCTTTGATCCATCTTTTTTTTTTTTTTTTGAGTGAGGTAGATATTGAGCACCCCATTTCCCTCCCAAAGGATATCCAGTTGTTCCAGCACCATTGATTAAACAGACCAGGATTTCACCACTGAGCTGCATCGGTGCAAATAATCTCTTTTATTGTCATTCACAACATCTTCATTTTTTGAGATGTTAAAAAAAATAACAGAAATCTGGTTTCTGGAGGAAGAAAGCTCGGGTCCTTGGGGAGGGATGGCGTGGATTAAAACGGTGATACTAAGCAGTAATAGATAACAAAGTTACCCTTTAGGTAGTGGCGACTGAGAGCTAGATCCCTCATACAGAGCTCCACGACAGTCTGAGGTCAGTTAGGTATTATTACCCCTTTACAGACGAGGACAGTGAGGTTTAGAGGTTAGGTACTTCCCTGCGATCACTCGGCTAGGGAGCTGGGATTTGAACCCAGGCGGGTCGGCCTCCCTCTAACTCTGGCCAGACATTCAGGCCTCCGTGCGCTCTGCATCTCCCTCTAGGCCCCTCTCCCACCAGGTCTCCCCCCGGGCGCTCCACGAGGAGACCGTAGAGAAGGGACGGCGGAGCGGGGTGCGGTGGGCTAGGGGGCTCAGGTCTCAGCGCCCTGCCCACGACCCAGAGGGGAACGTGAGCTGGCGGCGGTGAAGAGCCCCGGCGGCCCCTCCCGACGGGACGGGCCGCCGCCCGTTTAGCCTCCTCGCCACTCCTGACAGGGCGATTCCACGACAGCTGGCAGAGCCCGGGCGCTCGGTGGTGACGTCGCCTCCGCCTTTTCTCGCTCTGCGCGTGCGTGGCCCGGCCTCTCGGGAGGCCTCGGGGGAGTGGGCGGGGCGTTGCCCGGGAGACGCCTGCAGCCCCGGCGCAGTATGCAGTCTCCGCGCTTCTCGGCGTCTCGCGCTCTTCCGGCTCCGCCCTGCCGCGGCCCCGCCCGGTCCAGAGGGAAACGGTCGCGGAGCGATGACGTCGCGGGGGCCTGGCCGGGCGTCGCGGTCTCCGGAGATGGAGGAAAAGGAGCAATTACGGCGACAGATCCGTCTCCTGCAGGGTCGGTGGGGCCGGGGGCCGGGGTCGCGCTTACTTGTCTTTGCCCTCCCCTCACAGCAAGCTCCCACACTCCTTCTGGAAAGGGGTCGCTCGCCAGCCATCCCCTTGGGAGCGCTGTCCGTGGTGGGGAGCAGGGCTGGGCAGGGGATGGGGGACCCAGAGGAGCTTCCGGCCGGCCTGGTCAGTCCCCTTCTCTGTCTTCGTCTGACCAACAGCATTAGCCCTTCTGGAGCCGCGGCGGTGATGGTGGGCGCGTCGCTTAGTAACCGGGGCGGCCCCCCTGCTCTCACCGGCGGCCACCCTCGCGTCTCGGCAGTGGGGCGTCTGTCTCGTCTCTGGTCCAGTATGGCCAAGTCCACCTGTGTGTATGTTTGCATGTGTGTCTTCATCGTCTCTTGACACCCCTTCTCTGCATAGTCACCACCCCACATTTGTGTGTCAGGCCCAGACTTCCCAGGCCTCAGCTGTAACACTTCATAATTTTTAGAACCAAGCTGGACTTTCTAAACCTTTTTAAAAAATTCCTATTTAAGGTTATTCCCACGAAGGGAAGACTTAGGGATTTGGAAAATATGTATGAGTCCAGGTGGGCTGGCACCCACTTGGGCTTCTTGGGCTTTGTCATACCTGCCCTAAGGTGTCACCAGGTCTGGACCTGGGCTCTCTGTGGTGGGGGATGCTGATAACTGGGAGGCTGGACACTGACCTGTTGTTTGAGTTGTAATGTCCAAGGTTGTTCCAGCCGAAGGACCTTTGGGGGGCCCTCCTGCACTATGACAGCTATCCAGCGGTCATTTGGCTCCATGCGATCAGGTCTCTCCTCTCTTGTAGGGGAGGACAATGTGTGACATTCCAACAGCTGAATGGTCTGTGCTCCTTGTACTTGCTTTTGCTGATTTCCAGTGCTGAGCGCCCGGGTGTCATTTCTGTGACATTCATTGTGCTGTGTGCTGGGCAGTGGAGATTATTAATCTGCAGTCCTGCCCCCAGGGGGCTTCTTTCTTTCCATCTGTGGCTGACTCATCCCCTAGGTGTCGGGGCATTACAGCATGGGGTTTTTTGATCTCTTCATACTGAGTGATACTTCCTCTCAAAGAGTTGGAGACGCAGTAGACTGGCAAATAGGGAGTATCATAGCATAGGGTCGCCATGAGTCAGAGTAGACTCATAGTATAGGATGACTATCGAATATACTTTGGACTGCCAGAAGAATGAATAAGTCGTTCTTAGAAGAAATACAAGGGATCCCTGGTGGCGCAGTGGTTAAAGCGCTTGGCTGCTAACCAAAAGATTGGCAGTTGGAACCCACCAAGCTGCTTCTCAGGAGAAAGATGTGGCAATCAAGGGTTACAGCCTTGGAAACCCAGTAGAGCAGTTCTACTCTGTCCTATTGCATGGCTGTGAGTTGGAATCAGCTCGGTGGCAGTGGGTTTTCCTGTTGTTGTTTAGAAAAAATACAAACAGAGTGCTCCTTACAAGCAAGAATGGTGAGACTTTGACTCACGTACTTTGGACATGTCATCAGGAAAGGCCAGTCGCTAGAAAAGGACATCATGTTTGGCAAAGTAGAGGGTCAGCGAAAACAAGAGGAACCTTCAATGAGATGGATTGATGCAATAGTCACAACAATGGACTCAAACATACCAACCATCATGAAAACCGTGCAGGACCGGGCAGTGTTTCATTCTGTTGTACATAAGGTCACCACGAGTCGGAGCTGACGCAAGGACAGCTAACAGACAGATACCGTGGGGGCGTGTCTTCAGGATAAGCAGCCAGAAAAAGCCGAGAAGTGGAACTGGTGGGGGAAGGGCTCATGGGACTTGGGACTTAACTGTGGGTCCCAGGCAGGGGGCTGCCAGTCCTCAGAGTGAGATGGTGACTGTGGGCTGTCTGCCAGCTGATGCTCCCCAGGGTGGCTGTGATTGTTGTGGATTCACTTGATTGCACTGTGATTCTGTTTTCTCAGGTCTGATCGATGACTACAAAAACCTTCATGGCAACGTCGCTGCTCCGTGCACCTCAGCTGCTTCCCGGTGGCAGCCACCCGCATACCATAGCACCAGGTCCTTCACCGCCCACTACCCTCGTCCAAGCCGCAGGGGATTTGCCCCTCACCACGGGCCTGCCTGGCGGAAGAAGTACTCCCTGGTGAATCGGCCTCCCAGATCCACGGACCCGCCTGGTGACCGGGCCGCGCAGCCTGCCCTCGGGGCTGGGGCCAGCCCGGGGCCTGATCCCCAGCCCTATGTCCTTGAGAGGCAGGTCCAGCTCAGCCCAGATCAGAACATGGTCATCAAAATTAAACCACCATCAAAACCGGACTCAGCCAGTGCCTCGGAGGCCCAGCAGCATCCTTTGGAGGAGCGTGAGGGCACTCCCTGGAGTGACCAGAGACCCCAGGAGGGCGAGGGCGAGCCCCCTGGTGGGAAGCTGCAACCCTCAAGGCCAGGCAGAGTCAAGGATCGCTGCGGTGGGGAGGACCCCCTGCTGGTCTGCCAGAAGGAG